TAGCACTCTCGTGTCATAGCAAATTCTCCCTTATTTGTGCTATGCTAGTGGTGAGCAGATAACCCAAGATTGAGCAGAGCATAGAGGCTGGGCTGTAACATACCTACTTAAGACTCTCTTCACTCATTCATTGCAAAGAAACTTAGCCTTTGTTTTCACAAAGAATAATATCCTGTTTTATTCTGATATCTGCCTGGCCGTGAGGCATAGACAAACCATTTTGGGGGCTGGAGAGATGGCTCAGTGGTTGAGAGCACTGGTTGTACTTGGAGAGTTCTTGCAGGGCTAGGTTCAATTTCCAGCACCCACATGGTGGCTAACAACCGTCTGTAACTCCAGTTCCAGGGGATCCGACGCCCTCTTCTGTCCTCCACAGGCACTGCATGTCACAGGTGTACTTACACACATGCAAGCATAACACTCATACACATAAAAATAATAAATAGATAAATAAAACCATTTGGGCCATTTTGAGGGCTTAATCATCGAAAGAGTGAAGATTCTGTATCTACAATATGATTTCTTTCTATATTCTTGATACGGCTTCTGGTCTTCTTGTCCCTTCTTTCATGCCCATAAAGCTTATTTATAAACATCATTTTTTCAGAAGCTTTCATCCACCAGGTATGTCCAACTTTTTGACATTTCACCTCAACGCTGTCATCTGCAAATATGTTAGGCTGCGTTCATAGCTATAATGGGATGCATATGGACCATAGGTTGGACATACCTGACATACCTCCTTTTCCTCCATTCACAGGTTGTCTCTTAACTTGCCTATACTGCCTTTTCTCTTCTTATTAGCCCATAAATTCCACTGTAACTGTCATCTCATGCTATACCTCGTGTGGTTATTAATAGTGCCTCAGGTTTGGAAATAGCGGTATTTTGACCACAATTGCCTCTTCCCTCAATGGTCAGCTACTGCCTTGCAGCCCTACCTTCACTTGATACTTGCTTTGGGAATATCCTTTTTCACCCTGATTATGTTCTGGGCTTATAAGTCATTGACCTCCCATTCCTCCATTCTACCCCTGTCACTCCTGGGTATCATTCTTGCCTCACACCTCAGGTAACTGTGATGGACATTGATTGGCCTTTGCTCTAAACTCCAATTCTTGGATGTTCTCTTACTGTGATCACAGCTTCCAACTCACTTGCTTCCCTTCCTGTACACTTGGTGAGCCTGCCCTTGACTTTCTCAGCCTCACTTCTTGCCATTTTCTTTCTCCAAGCTGTCCAGCATCTCTTGCTTCTACTTATTTTTAAATCCTACTGGACATTCCAGCCAGTGTTTCCTTGCCTTTTGGATTCGCTGTGCTTGCCTCTCCCATGAGGCTCTGAGTTTGGGAGCCCCATGAAGACATGATGATTTTCTTTTATTCCCTCAATTCTTCTCCTATCCTGTGCATTTTAGAACCTCAAGAGATAAATTGAATTTCCTGCTATTTCATACTTCTGGAAGTGTGGTCCTCATACAAATAATTCTCTCCTCGTTGCTGCCATCAAAAACCTAGTTCTTTTGTCTGCTTTGCTGAAAAGGCTTATTTTCACTTCTCACTTTACTGTCAATTTTTTCTAGCTTCTCTTAAATTAGCTTCATTGCTGGAGGAAAATGCTTAGGTTGTCTGTAAATTTCTATCCCACTCCAGGCACCCAAACCTGTGCCTAGTCTCTCTGCTCTGTAGCAGCCTCTCTCATTGGCTTCTCTTAATAGTCCTAGCCACCCTGGCAGCTTCTTTTGTGACTTGTCTTATCTCATCCCTGGGCCTTGTGTTTACTCTTATGCCAATTAGAACAATTAGACATATTGTGTCCATCCTTTGTTCTTTCCTGAACTTGCTTTGCGTTGCGTGATGATTACATATTAGTGTTTTCCTTAAGGAACAGAGTTCAGATGACCCATCCCAAACAGTCATTGCTGATTTGAAATGCGATTAATATAAGGTCATTAGGCAACGTTTTCCTATGTAGGCATGCATAAGTTTTCAAGTGCTCCCTGATAGGCTCTTGCTTATTAAAATTTTCCTAATTGATTTTCTAACACAAAAAACAAAATGGTTGCTGGGGTACTATTTATATAAGGCTAAGTTGAAAAATGGTTTCATGCCTATTAGGAAGTTTGAAAGAAATATAGCACTAAATGGTATTTGCATGCCTTTTGTGGATATGGTTCTGTATCCAATGAGCCAGATTGAATGCAGAGGGAAGCTTAGTCCTCACATAAGCAAACCCTTCACACATGTTAAGATTTGCGATTACTTGAAAAGACTGTAATGATTCCTTTTTCTTTTCATACCAGTGCATTTGGTTAAGAACTATTACCCAAAAGGACACAGCAGAATATTTCACATGTATCTCAATCTCCTAGGGAGTGGGTACCATGAGGCTGAATGCTTAATGTTCAGTATCTGCAGAACATTAATGTACTTTGCACTTAGATGTTTGTTGAATTGAGTATCATGAAGTGTGAGTACAGTACTGAGTGTTAGGGAAAAGAAGGCATTCATCATCATACTTGCCTGCCTAAAGGTGAAGTTCAAGTTGAATTTTGAAGTTGAGAAAGTCCATGCAGAAAGAAAGGAGAAAAAAGCAGTTCCAGGAATATCCTTGGAAGCAGAACCTTCTAGACAGAAAGACTTAATTTTCAAGGATTCATGGTAAAGAAATTCTACCCCATTGCTTCCTTTGTAAGCTTTACTAGTATCATTGATGAAGCATATAATAACCTCAGAAGCTACCAAGCTGTGCTACTACTCTCCTGGCTTTGGGGATTGATGTGTGCATAATTGTTTAGGGGGTGATGTGTGAAAGGGCAGGATCATCCTGTTTACCTGGATTTCTTGTCATTTTTCCAGAAAGATGAAAATTCCCTGTTGTTGGAAGTCTTTTGAAACATTGTTTTGTTTGGGGTAAATCTAAACTTGTTGCTTGATGAATATTTGTTTTAAAGATTTATTTTTTATTTGTGTGTATGGGTGTGTGTCTGTGTGAGTATATTTCATGTGTGTGCAGTGCCAGTGGAGGCCAGAAGATGGTGTCAGATTCCCTGGAGTTGGAGTTACAAGTGGTTAATGAGCCACTTCAGCTGTATGTGCTGGGAATTGAGCTTGCGTTCTCTACAATATCAACAAACACTCAAATCAATGGAGCCATCTTTTCAGATCTATATTTCTTTTTATAGTGTTGGTTAGGACTAGAATTTACAGTCTGTGACTAAAGGCTCGTCTCAGATCTTCATTCTCTCCTAAGGGGTCAGTTTTTCCTTGCAACAAATACCATGGAGGAAGGGAAGGTCTTGCTTACAGTATACCTGATGCTAACTTGTTTAGGCCATCTTGTCTGCAATAATCCAAAGATTTGGATTGCACAAAATTATAGATCTAAGAGAGCATTCATCAATACACATATTTGTTAAATGGGGCATTGTACAAAGGGCTGGGGGCATAAAGATGAAAAAATCACCTCTGGAATGTATGATCTACCAAGGTACAAGTGAACCACAAAGCTATGGCCCTAGGGTCCTACATCTGGTGCTTGAACCTTCCTGCCCTTTTTCCCATTTTTATCAGTGTTGTAGAGGATGATAGATTCTCTTCATGGTCCTCAGGCATAATCTCCTCTCTTTCTTGATCATTATCTTACTTTGTATGTAGCTTTAAAGTCCTATAGTTAACCAGCCTTTTCTGGAAAGCATTCACTTATTTGCGTTTCAACTAGTAGTCTGGAATTTTGTTTTAACTCAAGGGTTTTGCAGTTACTTGACAATAATGTCTAAACTGTATGTACACTGGGAAGGAAGGGAAGAGCTTTACAGTTGGCTGAGTCTTGGATTGAATCATACAAGTGGAATTGGACTCAGAGTATCTAGATGAGGTAGAGTTCCAACTAATTAAAAAGGGGGAAGACTAGGAGTGGTTCTGTGGCCTGAGGTTGAGTGCTTATAGAGCTCAGGGTGGAAGCTTGAAAAAAGGTGAGACTCCTGCCAGTCTTGCACAGTGCTGTTCCCACAGCACCTGGCTCAGTGCATGGCACAGAATAGGTACTCAAGATGCATTCATTGGGTGGGTGGGTGGATGGATGGATGGACGGATATATGTAATAGAAATGATTTGAAGAGAAGCAAGTTTAATCTGACAGAATAGCTAAGTAATGTTAACTGGACTTGTTGACATGAAAAGGAGAAGGTGATGGAGAGCTATGTGTTAATGAGCTTGCTGTTACAAAGCCCTTTTAACTTTGACAAACATTGTGGCAAGCTATCAAAGAGGATATTTGTGTATGTGTGATAATTTTCTAAGCTACCTTTGCAGTTAATGAAGTACTGTCATTTCATTAAAATTAAAATGAAGAAAATGCATATCCTCTCATCTTTAAGGAAATAAAGAAGAAGACTAGGCCAGATATGGTAATGCCTATAATCCCAGAACTCATTAGGTGAAGACAGGAGGATCAAGAGTTCAAGGCCAGCCTTGGCTAAAAACAAAAACAAAAACACACCAAACATGGGAACTCCCAGAACCCACATGGCAGCTAGTAACTATCCATAACTCCAGTCCCAAGAGATACAATGCCCTCATCTGTCCTCCGAGGGCACTGCATGACACAGGTGCACTTACATACATGCAGGCATAACACTCATACACATAAAAAATCAATTTAAAAAATAGCAACAAAAACGAAGACTGTTTAGGTTCAGAACATCTAAAATCATGCCTGGGTTTTAATTCCTAGTAGGTGGCATGTATTCTCCCTTACGACTTGGAATTCCTTACTGAATTAGTAACTCTGATCACATTGATAGTGGCCTGAAGGAAAGGTTTTCTTAGGGTTGGCATGTAGCTAAGAGGTAGAACCCTTGCCTCTTACATTCAGGACCCTGGGTTCCAGCCCCAGCACCACGAAAAAGGAAAAGGCTTCTACTCTCTCACAAAGGGATATCAGACCTTTTTGGAGGGTACTTGCCCCCATTTCTTACTCTCTAACTCTCCATTTTCTAGGACTGCATCGATGTAGGCTGGTGGGAAGGAGAGCTCAATGGCAGACGAGGAGTGTTTCCTGATAACTTCGTGAAGTTACTTCCGCCAGACTTTGACAAGGAAGGGAATGTAAGTCTCTTTGCTGTTGATCTGAGTGTCCCCCATGCTGTCAAAATTGTGGCTCTCTTGACAGGACTTGGGATGGGAAGTGGGGACATGGTGGTATGACATTAAAGAGCACTGACATTTGAATGTTTAATGAGCCTGGGTTCTGAGCCCTGGACTGCCTATACTGCAAAACAAGCCTATTATAGAATCTATCTACCAGCTCTTGAATGGGATCCCTATTCCAAGGCTGCATGTAAAAGCAAGATAATGTATGTACAACATTTAGTATAACACTTGGCACATTTGAATACCCAGGTATTCAAATACTGTGGTAACCCTGGGTGCTCACTTGATAAGTGAACATTCCATTTGACTACCTGAGATCCAGTCTCAGATAGCATGGTTCTATAAAACATCGTCTTTGGGGATGCTCAAGTAGCCATTGTTTTGAAAGTTGCTGAATGTCTCATCATGAGGCTGAGAATGGAGAGGACAGCTAGTCTTCTTATACAGGATATGCGTGTGTGTATACATATTCAAATATATATGTACACGCCTCTCATCTAGGTCCTCTCTTGCCTTGTGGGAACCTATTTGAAAATGCCCCTATTTAGATGAGCCATCTTTTTGTTGTTGTTTGTTTTTTGTTTGTTTGCTTCACTCCTTGGGTCCTCCTGTTCCTCTGCTAATGACGTTTCAAGAAATAGCGAAAAACCGGAAGTACTTTACAGTGTAAGGGGACAGGTGTTTCTTCTTATCTATCCATCCTGTTCTATACCTTACGGCTCTTTTCTCAGGCTTTTGTATGATTTTGACAGCCTTCCTGGGCTGGGATCTATTTGGACCCAGCAAGTGTTCCTGGATCAACCTAACCCCAACTTTTTAGTTACTCTTTTCATTTCTGTGACAAAGTATTTAACAAAAACAACTTAAGGGTTTATTTTGGCTCACAGTTTGAGGGTATAGTCCATCATGGTAGGGAAGTTATGGCAGCAGGAACTTGAGGTAGCTGTTCACATTGCATCTGCAGTCAGGAAGCAGAGAGAGATGAATGTTTTGGTGCTCAGCTCGCTTTCACCTTTTTATTCAGTCCAGGACCCCAGCTGGTGGAATGGTGCTGCCAACTTTTCAGATGGGTCTTACCACACCAATTAACCCAATCTAGAAACTCCCTCGTAGACATGCCTAGAGATTTATCTTCTAGGTGATACAAGATCTTGTTAAGTTGACAATATTAACCATCACATTGACCTTGATAATCACTTTTCCAGAGCTGATTTGTGGGAAGGATAGCTACAATACTGGTAGATTGCCAAGGATGCTACAGTGCCATTTAATGATACATGTTCTGCTTAGCTAAATAGGTATATTTCTTTAAGAAGCTAGTTTTGTTTTAAGCAGCTCTAACAAACTCGCAGGTGATGTTGATGCTGCTGTACTATGGATCATACTTTGAGTATCAAGGTTCCAAAAACACTTTAGGAATCAGAAATCAGATTCTCTACAACTGTGATTAAATTCCAAGAGCGGGTGACAGGTATAGAGCATAACATATTCCTCACTGAAACAGTATAAGAAAGCAAGCTATTTAAGAGTCTTATCCTTGGAGATGCCCCATGTGTCTGGCAGTGGAAAAATGCCTTGTTCACTTTAACCATCCCAGTTGTTATGGTTACTATTACTGCAAGGATGTGAAAAGGCTCCAGCCACACTGGGAAGTAGCATTAAAACATTAACTCTGTTTACTGCTGAGTAAAACTCCATTGTGTAAATGAACCACATTTTTATTATCCACTCATCAGTTCAGGGACACTTAGGTTGTTTCCATCTCTTAGCTATTGTGAAAGGAATAGCAACAAACATGAAATCATGAAATTTTCAGGTAAATGTATGAAACTAGAAACTGTTATACTAAGTGGACTAACACACACTCAGAAAAACAAATGACATATGTTCTCCCTCATATGTGGATCCTAGCACCAAATCCTTATAAGTG